CCCCCCTCGCGTCCCACCGGGGCGCTGCCCCCGGGCTCTCCTCGGCAGAGCGAGCGAGCGAGCAGGGCCCGCGCAGCGGCCCGGCCGGGCGCAGCCGTACCTCCGCCTCCCGACCCGGCATCCCAGCGCCGCCCGCTGCCCCAGAGCGCGGCGGGCAGCGGCGAGGCGCAGCCCCGAGCCAGCCCGGCTCAGCCCCGAGCCAGCCCCGCCCGCAGCACCGCCCCGCCCGGCGCATGCGGCTCCCGTAACCCTTCGCCCGCCGCGGCCTCGCTGTGCCTCGGCCCGGGGAGAGCGGCGGCCTGCCGGCCACGTTTGGCCCCGGATCGCGCGTTTGTTATGACTTTTGCACGTTCTGCATATAATCGTAGAACGGAAAAGGTCTGAAATGGATCTTTGAAGTTCCTTTATTTCCAGCCCCTGTGCTACGGGAAGGGACGCCTCTCGCTAGACCACACTGCTCAAGGGCTAGACCACACTGCTCAAGGCTCCATCCAATGTGGCTTTGCATACTGCCAGGGATGGGGTATCGACAGCTTCTCTGGGCAGCCTATTCCAGTGTCTCGCCACCCTCACAGAAAAAAAAAAATTCTTCCTAATATCTAACCTAAATTTCTTCTTTCAATTTATACCCATTAGTCCCTGTCCTATAGCTGCAGTTCCTGATGAAGTCTCTCTGCCTGGCTTCCCTGTAGGCCCCCTCCAGATACTGGAAGGCTTCTATGGGATTTCCACAGAACCTTTTCTTCTCCAAGCTGAACAGCTCCAATGCTCAGCCTGTCTCCATAGAGCAGGTCCTCCAATCCTCTGATCAACTTTGTGGCCTCATCTGGACTTTCTCCAACATTTCCAAGGCCTGAAGCTGGGGTCACCAGAATTTACTCAGTTTCAGCAACTGTACTCTATATTCCAGTGCTCTGTGTTGTATCCAGAGCCCCAGCACACTCTGTCAGACATGGGCAGTGGGAAAGGTCAGTTCATAATGACAGCTTTCATGTCTTCCCTCAGTTCACACCTCCCACTTCCCCACAAAGCCAGCTTCCTATGGATACCATGCTGTTCAGAAACCTGAGATGCGTCCTTACCGCTGTCACTAGTGTTTCCACTTGTTCATCCACATCCTGGGCCCAGAGCAGAGGAAGGCTGGCTTTCCAGAGCATTGAAGAAGTGAGGCACCAAAATGAAGAGTTTCAGTATTAGACCTGTGCCAGCTCTGAGACTGTGGCTTCGCTGTGCCTGCAGAGCCAGACAATGCTTATCAACAGCAAAACTCGAGGTGCTGGGAGGAGCAAGTTATGGCTTTGGAAGCTGCTTTTCTAAGAATTGCCTGTTTGCTGTGCCTTGGCCAAGTAAGGAATGACACGTCCAGAACGTCATGCTCTAGGTGTTCCTAGAAGGAAAACCCTGTGTGCAGCAGTAGCCATTATGCACAAACTACTTCCTCTCCTGGGCTCACTTTGCCTTGTGGCAGCCCCTGAAGAAAGAGAGAACATACTTTTCTGAGAAAATGTAACACACACGCTAGCAAAAGCAATTCCTTATGGACTCCCTCTTCCCTTTGGCAAGCTCCTCTCTCCTTAAGTGCTTCCGTCCTTGAGTGAGTGACTGCCTTTTATTTCATTAACTAACTTTGTCTGCTGACTCATGGAAAAGAAGATCAGCTTGTCCCCTTCCCTCCTAGTGCTTCTTTCCCTGCCTCACTTCTTGCTCCACTGTGCCCCAACACAGGATCAACATGCATCATCACAGGCTGCCTGGGAATCTCTGCTCCACTTGCCTGGAGCTCCTCCTTCCCCTTCCTCTTCACCAACTGTGGGCTCTGCAGGGCGTTTCTCTCACATATTCTCCCTCTCTCACAGATGCTGCTGCACGGTGTTTCTGAATTGCAGAGACACTACCAATATCACCAATGGGCTCAGCTTTGACCAGCGGCAGGGCCATCTTGGGGCCAGCTGTGTGAGAAATAGCTACTCACTTTTCATAGTTTGGGAAGGTTTATTAGACCTTATCAAAAAATACAACTGGAGACTGAATAAAGAAAAAAGGTTACAGCGCTGGGAGCAAAATATTTTCCCCTCCATGTGCTCAGCCCCCTCATAATGGAGGTTTTTCCCTTTTTAACCCTTTACCCCTCCCAAAGTTCTGTCTATCCACCCCTTCTTCACTGTCCAGTGGTGGAGATCTCTTCCTCAAATCCTGATTGGAGGTCAGATGTCACCATAGTGACAAGCCAGCTCTCCCAGATGTGCCAACTCCCGTTGTCCCGTGATAACCACGAGAAGGGGTACAACATAACTATAAATCTATAAACTTTTCTTAAACTGTATACATGATATTTGTCCATTAATTGTGAGAGTCAATCATGGCATTATCATCTATCACAGCTGGAAGTGGCTACTACCACCACGGGGGCAGATTCTGGCATCTTCTCACATCAGGCAGCCCTGCAGCCTCCTTGTTATTAAAACCTTTCCTTGCAAACCCAATGTATCTGTTATACAATTGATTATATAAGGAAGCTCTCTGGGATATATGTGTCATTTTGCAAAAGCCCCTTTGACTGTTTCTTTTGGCATGTTTCCGGCTGTTCTGGATGGGACTAGGTAAGTAGATTGTTTAGAGGAGTAAGCTTAACTCTAATAAGGCCGACAAACTCAAGTGATGAATTTGAAATGTTTCTGTATGGAACTGGGGATGGTGTGGCTAGATCCTCTCCCTCCATATCTTTGGGTGGATCAACAGTTGACATTTTTGTAGTTTTCTGAAGCAAAACAGGCTGCAACAGTATTGGCCAAATGGCATGCATCCCAGGAAAGAGCTCATCCAGCATTAAACCGTGGCAGCAACAGCGGTCTCCAGGTTCTTATCTTGCTGTGGAAGCGTTTTCTTCCTTAAAATAAGCCTCTTGATGAACGAAGAGGTGAAACAGCACTGCTGATCTCGCACATCTCTGCAGGGATGTGCCTCAATTCTGCAGGAATGCCCAGCAGAGGGAGCCGCGTCCCTTCATGTCGCCCTCCTTGTACTCTAATAGCCCGTCATCTCTATTTAGGAGATGAAAGATGAGAGGCACGGAATGCCAAATTGCCATTTGGTGGACACATCTTTTCCACACTGAATAACTCCTGGTTATATTCTTTGTCACTTTAGCACCAACAGAGTTGTGAGTGCCATTTTAAACCTGCATAAGGGCAGTGGAGATCAAGCATCAACACTGCCAGCAACTGCCAGTAACACTGCCTGTAAGAGAAGAGTTTGTTTCTGGTTTTAATTCTTAGTTTCAGGTTTTGTAAGAGTTAGTACCCAGCAGAGCTCGGCTGTCATGGCTTGACTCACACATAAAACTTTGACCTAATGTCACACTGCCCACCACGGGAAAGCCATCCACTGCTACACATGCAATAGTTGCAGATTTTCTTGGTTCACTGAAATTTATCCCTCCACCTTTGGGGTGATGGTGAGTGAAGGTGGACATCCAAAGGGTTTGAGAAAGACAACAGACCATTCTGCATGCAAATTCTAGCAGCACATCTATGGACTGATGCCCAATGAGGTGCTGTTAGTTCAAAAACAAACAAAAAGATGATGTGACTTGTTGCAGACAGGTAGAAATATTATAAAAGAAAGGTCTTATTAAATATGGTTTAGGCCCTCCTACTGTAGTTAAGCTAGCAGTAGCTTGTAAGTTCCCATAAGGAAAAGTCATAAGAATGAAGGTGGTTAACACAACAACCTATTCTAGTAAGAAAAATGAGTTTGCACCTGCATAAACAATAGATCTGTCCCATGAGAATCAGTGAAGAAAATATGTAAACAATCCAAGAATAGAGAGATTTGATGGAAAGGTAAAATGCCAGTTATTAGCCAATTAATTGAGCGGCAAGAAAACTAGTAGCAAATTGGAGTTGAACACAAGATCTGTGAAAACTGTAAAAAAAATGAGTTATGTGAATAAAGAATTGGCTTTTTCTGCTTGAGGAAACTGAGTCTTGTCTGTTTATTAATGCAACATGACTTGCCTGAATTTCAGTAATGCACCAAGCTCTAGTGAGGAGCAGCAGTATTTAAGGAGATAAGTCACACTTCAAATGTTGCCTGTTGCTCAGTAGGGCTGCTCTTTCCCCTCTGTCTTGTGTTGTGGGGAAGATTGGAGCCAGTTGTGGGATGGAAGCTATGTTGGGTCTGGATGAGGTCACAGTAGGTATGTGGTAGAGTTGGTGGGAATTCAGGGCTGTTCAGGGCTTTATTTCAGTGTTAGTCTGTGAGAGCACCCTGCAGCGCGCGTGTTCTGGGAAGAAAGGTTCAAATGTAGTTGACAGTGTTAGGATTACAATTGGACTCAATGATCTTAAATGTCTTTTCCAAACTAAATGGCTATGATTCTATGATCATTTCCTTTAGGCATTCCTGTCTGTACCTGTGTGGGTGCAGGGGGAAGGCGCCTTCCAAGGAAAAATGAAATGTGAAAGTAAACACGGGGCCCTTTGCCATCGCTGGCTATTGGCAGCATTGGACCATTCCCCTCAGCCATCTTCACCAAAAGTCCTTGGAGCAAGGCAGAGACAGCACTACTTTCTCTATCCTAGACACTGGAACTGCAGAGCAGGGACAGCAGGTGCAGGACATGCAGGTGGGAGACAGGAACACTTCAAAGACGTGGAGGAAATTGCAGCTCTCTTCCACTGGAGAATATAAGTGCTCAAAATGAAAGCTGTGATCACACAAAAGATAAAGCTGATGTTTCCGTTTTGTAGGTGTTAAGTACAGAAGCTGAACTCACTGGCTTGGGGTTTCATACAACTTTAATGTAACACAGGTCATACTGAGGAAAAGCTATTTCAGGACTGTGCACTGCTATAGTAAGGACCTTACCTGTGACTTGGCATTGCAGCATAAACTAAGGTAAATATTGCCAGCCTATATACACAAAGCTACGCCTGCTTCTTGAAAATACGTGATATAAAGACAGGTTTTTTGCACTCTTTCAGACACAGTGCTGGATTATGGAGCAGAATTTGACAGACCTGCTGGGCAGCGGTGGCTCTGAGGACACATTGGTGAGTCACTCCCTGACGGGTTGCTCTCCTGCAAGCCGGGGCCAGTAGCACGTCTTAGAGGTTCAGTTTTTCCTATGGGACACATACTGGTGGAGATGATGGGCATTTAGAAGAAAGCAGTGTGATTGTTGTTCTCTGGAAAGAAACCAAAACACAGGGTGAAAATATCTTTAGCTGATGGTACTGTACTTGTAGAAGAAGAATGTCCTTGAGGGCAGAGGTAGTGCTAGGAGTGTCCTGTGGAGGATATCCTGATAGGGATGCTGCTATCCATCTTCTTTAATTTGAATTCTTTGCTGGCACAAGTACTGCCTAGGGATGTGGTGGCTGCTGCTGGGGGTTGGTGAGCAGGAAGAGGGCATGCCACTGCTGCTGGTGCATCCCATTTCTGGCACTCAGCTAACTGGAAACAAAGCTTTTCGGAGATGAGTATTAATATGTCAGTTTCTCCCTGGGCCAAGCTCCCTTTCTCCTTTCAGAAGGAAACATAAAATAGGACCCCAAAACCCATATCAGGGGCTCTCAACCTCCTGGCCATGCCCATGTTGTTGCTGGTTTGAGGATGCTCCCTGTCTCTGGCCTCTGTACCCCACCTGGACTTGGGCATGGGCCATGGCCCTATATGGAGCCAGCAGCAGGGTGCTACTAACTTTTACCACCACAGCTGTGTTTTCCTTGATCTCCTCTGCCCCTGTGATGCCCCAGGATCTTATCCTGGGTCTTGCAGGGGGATGGCCAGTCGCTCGTGTTCTTTCCTCATTTGCACATCTGTTTTGTTGTGGCACATCTGTTTTGTCCTTATGTAGCTTGGTGTGAGCTGACTCTTTCCTGGTATATCTGCTAATGTGGGATTTGGCTCATATGAATTTCATTGTCCTTGAACAGATGGGTTACACCTCACCAATACCTAACTCCTCTGCAGCCTATGAATATGCCTTCTACTACTCAGAACTATACATCATCTGTCATCCTGAAGGTATTCCAGCATTTGCATCTACCTTATTTCCAGTGCTGTACTCCGTACTGTTTGTGGCAGGCCTCATGGGAAATGCTTTGGTTGTTTGGATTCTGACAGTCTCCATGAAAATCAAGACCATGAGTGACGTGTATCTGCTGAATCTGACTGTCTCTGACCTCCTCTTGGTGTTCTCCCTGCCCTTCTTGGTTCAGTACTCCATTGTGAGCCAGTGGACTTTTGGAAACGCACTGTGTAAAATCATCAGCTCAGTTTACTTCATTGGTTTCTACAGCAATGTCTTCTTCATAACCATCATGAGCATTGACAGGTACTTGGCCATAGTCCACTCCCTCCATGTCCAAGGGATTCGGACAACTGCCATTGGGTTTATCACCAGTCTGGTCGTTTGGGCAGTTGCCATTTTAGCATCAATGCCAGACTTACTTTTTTTCCAGGAAGTGAATGACAATAACCAGATTAAGTGCCTTCCTCACTATCCTGATGATAACAATGGCTGGAAGACTTTCAGTAATTTTGAAGTCAACATCCTAGGGTGGCTAATCCCTGTTGTTGTCCTCGTTTTCTGCTATCATAGCATCTTGAAAAACCTGCAGAGGTGCCATACCAAGAACAAGTACAAAGCAATAAAAGTGGTTTTTATTGTTGTCATTGTGTTCTTTCTCTCCTGGACCCCTGTCAACATTGTGCTGTTTTTGGACTCTCTGAGGAACATGTCCATCATCAATGACTGCCACACAAGCCAAAGGCTAGACCTAGCCGTGGAGCTGACTGAGGCACTCTCCTTTGTCCACTGCTGCCTCAACCCAGTCATCTATGCTTTTGTGGGTGAAAAGTTCAAGAAGCATCTATGTGACACTTTCAAAAAATTTCCATGTTTGCTGTGGAACTGCAAAGGCTACGGGGCTTTCAGTGGGCGCAGCCTGGACAAGCACTCCTCTCTGCACACAAAGTCCTCACAGCTGTCTTCTGTTGGCACTGTCTTGTAGAACTACAAGTCCAAAATTATCATCCTGGACAGGTGGCCTGTCCTAAAATTGAGAAATCCGCAACTGTGCATCCACACCATGGACTGTTTGAGCAACCTTTTAGGACATGAAAAGTGGAAGCAGCTGCTTGATTTTGCTTTTATTGTGGTTGCTTTTGGTGTTCTCACTTTTTAGAGTTTTGTTTTTTTTTTTTTAGCATCATCCTCCCTTTCCCTCAGCACATCCTGCCTTGCTTGCTTTGTGAAATTACCAGCAGACTCCCAGACTGCCGGTGCAACATGGAGAGGTACATTAGAAACATACCTTACCCCCTTCAGACTCAATACTGAAAAGAACTGTTATGTTTCCAAACCCTGGACACTTGGCCATTCCTTTCCTTGTCTCAGCAGAGTGTGTTTGCTTTGTGAGCAGGGATGGGACTTGCTGCAGGAGTGGGAACCTACTCTTTGAAGGGAAATGGGGCCCAGGCTTAAGGTGTCATGCCAAGGCCTGGCTCCCAGTTGGCAGATCTGAACAATGCTTCCAGCCCCAGAAGAGCTTAGTGAGTGAGTAACTGGATAAGCAACCAAGAAATAAATGCTGTCCATGTTTTGGTAAAATCAATGTGAATTAATATCTAGGTGTGATCCTGACTCCCCATCTGCTACCAGGGCCTGCACCTTCTTGGCTGGAAGGTTTTGAAGCTGTAGCTCAGAAATAATGCTGTGAATGTCAAGGAACAACCCCTAATTGAATGAATGAGTGCTGTAGGAATGGATGGAGAAATTGTTACCAGGAAAAAGGCTGAAGACTGGAAAAAATAGAGGGTGTAAGCTGTCACACGTCCCTGTCAGGGGACTTTCTGAACATTTTTGAACTTTTTGAACTGGTAACTGGTGTGCCAGTGTGGTCACTGCTCTTGAGCAGGCAGGTGGGGTTGACATTCCAGTTACTGTTCCAACTTGGAATGACTGATTTTGCATATGTGAATGGCTACCCATTCGTATAGATATATCTATATGTGTCTCTATATGTAGAGCTATGTACATGTACATGCATATCTATACTTGCCCATGTGTGTATATATACACAAATACACACTCATATACCCATATAAATAAATATATATACTTTTATATGTGCAAATACTGTTACATAAATGCAATGGCTTTCTAAAGCTTTTTGTTCTCTTCTATTTGTCTCTACAAGATATCACGATATTTTAAGTTTTATAATAAAGATACTGTGTGCAGTGTAATTGCACAATCTTTACACCTGAGGAACCTGTTTCATCATTATTTGTGTCAGCATCTGCATTTTATTCTGTCCTGAACAGATCTACACAACTGATAGTCCTTCCAGCTGCCTCTTCTCTCCCCCCTCTTCAGTTCAGCTGCTGCTTGGTCCCAGCAACAGGATCGCTGCCTGGCACAGCAGTACAGTCTCTACTTTTCAGGTGCCTTATTGCCAGCCAGGTTTTTTTTGGATATGCAAACCCTGAGGTTCTCTAGAAGGGGTTTCACAAAAATTCAGGGTAAAGCCAAAGGGTGGTGGGCAAGAGGACGGCTCCAACTCTCTCCCCTGCAGATTCACAGTATGAACCCTCTAGAGCACAAATCACTCCCCTGAAGCACAAGAGATGGGAATGATTTCTGCAGCCTCAACAGCCTCATCCTGCACCCCTTGAGTGTGAGTGCTTTGGGACAGGTGCTGGAGCCCATTTTCCCAAGCTGGCAAGATAATGATGGCTTTTCTCTGGTTGCTGATCATGTCTGCTAGGGGACACCTTCCTCTGCTCAGAGGTTTCATTGATTGTTGTTATGTAGCTGTTGGAGTGAGGCTGTGATCCAGGGCTTCCCCATAAGGGCTGTAGCCAAGTGGCATGAGGGTAGCCTAAACATGCAGAGCCGTCTTTGCAAGGTCTTTCACTTTTTGAGCTCTCACTGGAGGACATTCTGCCCTGCTGTTGCCACAACAGCATCACCTCCTAGCAAGGAAGCAGGAGATGCTTTCTGCAGCATCACCTTCTAGGACAGAAGCAGGAGATGCTTTCTGTAGATTAAAGGGTTTTTCTGCCAGAGGCAGCTGGCTTCTGTTTTATCAGCAATACCAGGAGCACTGAGTTGGACCTGACCTCAACTTCTCCTCACTGCCCAACTGCTCTAAGCTGGTAATGCTGCCTTCCTGTACAAAGGGAGGGGGTGAGACCCACATCCGGAGAGTGCTTGGCTGGCAGGAGCTGCCCTGTGTTGCTCTGGGTGGCCAGAAGCATCCCTGTAAGGTCACAGAGCTCCTCTGCTTTCTGAAGGGACGAGCCTGGAGCAGTCTGCTGCCCTTCCAGTGCCTGTGAGGGCATTGAGAGCAGAAGACATCTTTCTGTATCTGTGCAAGCTGACAGCTTGAGGAAAATGCCAAATTTTAGGGTTTTCCTGAGAGCAGGGATCACAAGAAGCTGAAGCTAAAGCATCCTGCACAGCCCCAGTGCCTGTTTACCTACTTGCATATTAGGTATCCACCAGAGCTATTCCACCACAGCTGTTCCACCACAGCTGTTGTATGTCTCCTGCTCATACCTGCTGCTTACCTTCATATTCTGATCTTGCTTTTTCTTTCTGCTGAGATAATGAAGGTTAAAGAGGATTTGGAATGATGTTGGCACATGAAACAGTCAGATGTAATCTTGTTTTAGCTTCAGCACATTATCTTGAAAGAGAGACCCGACTAACTGTTACCCATATTCAAGCTTAAACCTAAAGTACATACTTGTTTTCTTTTGATTTACTGGTGCTATTTGCACCAGAGGGTCCCTTCTACAGAGGGTCTCTTAGAAAGATGGAGACTTCGTCTGACGCCACTCATGATGCTCTCTGAATGTCTGGATGGAAATGCCTAGATGGGCTGGAGCACTGCAGTGGCATCAGGGGTGCTCATCACTTGCCACACAGCAAATAAGTGCAGCAGTTGTATGGGCATGTTTAAGGACCATGCTGTTCAACTACAGCAGCAAAAAGTGGGACGTATGAGGACATGCCAGCTTATGATCCATCAGAAAATAGTGTCAAGTGGGACCCAGCAGATTGTTCCTCATCTCAGCTCTGAGTTGCAGACTGCCACTTTAGCACAAGTAGTCGTAGTCTGTTGTCCCAAAACAGTATCCGGGAATAAGAAACTAGTGCATATCTGGCTTTCTCTGGCATTATGCTGAACCCTCCTTCCCAAGATAACATGGAGACAAACTTATTAAATCCTTGGCAGAATGTCTGGCCTTCAGGTCATTTGTTCAGGCCTGTGCATGCAGTCTGGGGATGAGGGTGGGACTGACTTGGTGCCTTCTGGAGGAGCCCTGCCAGCCAGCAGGACAATTCTGCCTATTTCCGCTGTGGTAACATCCAGCTACACCTGGAGGTCAGAACCAGGAAAAACTTTAAGAAGGGGAAAGAGAAAGATTGATGAAGGGTATTTGTGTCCCACTCTTCTCTTAGCTGAAGGATGCTCCTGCACAAGGATGGGCCTCTACATTAGCATACATGAAACTCCCCAGGCCTGACTCCCCATGTTAATTGTATAATATCCAGGGGAATCCTCTTTTATTTTCAGCCTGTTGAAAACACTTTTTCTAATATACAGACATATGTATACCAATTATGAAGCAGCATGGAAATTATTGACTGTGCTAGAAAACGATCCAGAAAGGTGCCTCATGACAGAAGAAAAAAACCCCATGACTTTAGCTATTCTAAATAGCAAACTATAAAAATAGTTTGCAAAGTTGAAAGGTAACTGTAACTTTAGTCTGACTATATCAGGTTTAACTGTAATGTGTGGGCTGATATTCATATTTAGTTAGCATACCTTAAATGTTAATGTCCCTTAAAGGTAGCGAGTAATACTGGGCAAAGCAGAGCTGCTACTGTAGTGCGTCAGTTTTGACGCACGACTTGTGAGCAGTGTGCTTCTTCTCTAGGTAAATCTGTGTTTCTGCTGACTTGGCTGAAATGCCAAAATGTACGGAAACAGGTCACAGAAATCCCCGCTGTGAATACAGAATAGCACTGATTGGGGTTCCTACAGCCTCTGCTGATGTGTGTGTCTGCTGGGGCCTCATCCTGACCCCACATAGCTCTCTGGGCCTCCGTGTGTTCCTGCAGCTCTGCTGTGCTTTCCAGCAGCCAGTGCAGCCAGTGTAATTCTGGCGTCAGCAGCTGGGTCAGATTTACCACGTTCGATGAGCTCTATGCAAGAGAAAAGTACCACCAAGCAAACAGCAGCATCAGCTGTGTCACCTCAGCAAACGGTTTTTCCTCTCCATGCTCCGATATCCAGGCAGATTTCCCACTAACATTAATGAATGTGTGATGTGCATGCAGGCCTGCATTGCCAAGACATTCATCCCTTTCTTCACCTGGCACCCTTGGAGGATGTGCAGTCTCTGTGATCCTCCACATGCCTGAGTTCAGAGAAGGTGTGAATGTGCGTGCAGAATGTGGGGATGGACAGATGGAATGAAGGACAGAGCCCTGGCCTAACACAGACTGCCCAGACATTGCAAAAATATTGATTGCCCTTGGTGTTTGAGTCAGCACCAACCTTGACTGCCACACGCAGCAAGGTAAAGAGATCCATGTAGCAAGAAATGTTTGCAAACCAGCTGCCTTTCCAATACAACAAGGAGCAGAGGAAACAGGTCTTGTTCCCTAATGCTCAGGTATTCAACTGGGCTGAGAGCAAAGAGCAATGCTGGGTGGTTTCCTTGGGTCTTTGTCCATGCTCACTGCAAGGCAGGCAGCATTTCCACTCTCCTCTCTCCCTATGTCTGCATCTGTCTCTGTACCCATGCACATCTTGCACCACCATCCCTTCACATCTCAGTGTCCCCAGCACCACCCTTCCCTGAAGCGTGCTCAGCTGCAGCAGAGAGAGGGGTGGTGCTGGTGCAAATGTACCCAACAGCTTCAGTTCTCATAAGCAGCACAAGGGAGAGAGAGGGGAGGGAGAGGAGGGAAGGAGGGAGGAAAGGCATT